GCCATATGAAATAAGAGGTCAAACACAGCATGATTGTTCAAGTTGCACATGTATTGTGTTCCAATTTGGCTAAGATATGTATATTTGAAGTGATCCTCTCTCTCAGGTAGGATGCTCTAGCCTGGAGATTTTCCAACCAGTAACAGGCACACACGCAGCTCAGCAAGCGGATTGAAGCTAGTTTAAAGTCAGAAACCATTAAATTTCTGGAGTCCAGATGGCAGGTTATTAGGATTGGTTGTTTTCACAGATATGCTCAAAGTATTCTGCAATAGGAAATGATGCATAGAGAGCATGAGCTACTTATCTTTGCTAACACATGCTGCTTTAGGCATGTGTAAAGTCCTATCTAGCTGGAGAATGTTACCAACAAAAAGTGGTGGCTCATGAGTTGGGCCAAGATGTGGGACTACATCTGTCACTTTGTTCCCAAGCCTCTACAGAACTCTGGGATCTGAGCAAGTTGCCAGAATTCTACCCTAAGAATCCACAGCAAAGAAGCCTTTACCAGACCTAGGGAAGAGCCTTGAACTTGTCAGTCCCCTGACAACTCCTGATTTACAATTACCAGAGAGACAAATCATTTCAAAATTTCTTTTCTCCACATGCAAGTATCATGTTTGTTTATGGGTTTGTCCTTGTGCTACATACTACAAAAATGTAACTCATAAAACATCAATATTTAGCTAAGTTGCTCACTTAAAACAATATATAAACAAAATATATCTGGTTCAACATCCAAAGAGTTTGCCATGGATATTCACATTGTAAGATGTCTAAAGCTTTCTAATCTTAACCATTCTTTTTCTGTTAATTGCTGAACATGAAGTGACATCTCAAAGTCTTTTAATTAAATTATTTTGCTTTCCTTTTCTAGTAAGATTATCCAGTAATATGACAATACTGATGTGAAAAATTTTCCTAACAGACAAAAAAAAACAAACACAAAATTAAAAAGACCATGCTGTGTAAAAGGTTTACAAATATCCTGTGACACAGAAAAATCATAATCACTCAGGCATGAACTGTTGAGTTTGTTTTATTCCCAAACTGCAATTCTGGCAAGGGAAGTTAGCACATGTGAATTATAAAACCTCAAATGTGTGTTCATTTCCTACAAATTACTGTAAGGTCTACATACTGCTTCTTTAGGTGTAAATGCAAAACACTGACACATTCAAGAATTGGGGATAAAAACACTCCACCTATCATCTAATGCTTCCTGGAAGACAAACAAGCTCAACCTTTTCAATTTTTAGAAACTCAGATGTTGAAGAGATACATCAGGCTGTTGTCCTGGTGTAAGTTTATGTAAATATTCCTAAAATCAAGAGGATTCTTTATAAAGACATTGCTGGTGATGTGACCTGATTTTCAAAGACAGCGAGCACGCGAGACCTGCCTTTGTCTTCACAAACAGCTGTAGATGTTCATCATGTCAGCCAGTCAAGCCATTAGCCTTTCAGCATTCTAGTATTTAAGATCAGATAGATAGATTTACCCAGAGGAAATGACTGTAGCTACTAATTTATGTTCATTTCCTCACATGTAGAGCGAACACATGAAAGTCAAGTCACTTTTGCTGCTGACAATAAAAGTCATACATTCAGAGATCAAGTACTTTGTGGTTTTGCTAGCCTGAGCTCATCATGCCTTGTCAGCCACACTGGAAGACCACCAGTTAATGGATTTAACCTTTGCACCAATGAAAAATAATGGGTAAGCACATCAAAGCTAAGTTACACCGAAGTCATACACGTCCACTTTCTCCATCAAATATTTTCATAGTCTAATCTCCTTCACAATTGCTTTGCTTAGTTTCACAGAAAGTACACTTACTCAAGTAAGTAGAAAGCAGTTAAAAAGGGTAAAGTTGCAGCTGCTCCCAAAGATCTCTCTGAAGTTCAGCTCCCACACGTGCAAATGGCACAATAGCACTAACCAGGTCCTGCAGATACCTTGATTCAAGCAACATTTTAAGACAACAGAACAGGTAATAAGGTTTTGTCAAAGTAGTAGGTAAAGATAGAAAAAAGTTACTTTGTGTTGAAATAATCTAAATGTAAGAAACAACTAAAAGAGAGAGAGAAAGAGAGAGGTTACCCATCGGATGGTATTTTTCCCATTTTCTGCAAATAGTTACTTGTGCATCTTAAGAAGCATATAAATATTTGTAGATAATATGACAGTGTCAGAACATAATCAGAAATCTGCCTTCACAAACTCTGGACCTGTGTCCACTAGCTACACAGTTTAAGTTTCACTTAAATCACAAGCTAGAAGAAAAACTAATTCTGTCTGAACTGTAGAGAATGAGAAAGCAAAAGATATAGAAATTGAGGAAGTCAAAACAAGAAATTCCTAGTAATTCTCTTTTCCATTACACTTAAACTCCTATAGCCATCTCAAACGGATTCAAACAAGAAATCTTCTGAAATGTATGTCAGAACAACTTTGTCTATTATTTCTATAGGTTCAACTGTCAAAATTCTTAAGAGGGAGGAATATTTTATGCACCACATTCTGGGAAAGACTGAAGATTTTCACCTGTAACAAGCTATTTTCTGAGTTATGAAACAGAAATCCAGCCATCAGGAGCTCTGGTCTGTCTTTGAAAGTGACAAATAATTCTCCAAGCTGAACTTCAATTGAAAGCATCAGCCACAGAGAGCAACAGTTTGATGCTGCGACTCGCTGTAGTGTGGATGTTTAAAAAGTTCAGTAAGTTCTCCATGCAATCAATAGATTTATTCAGTTATCTTTATAGTAATACTTATCTTTTTTACTTCAAAGTAAAATTCTGTATACTTTGAAGTGCTAACAAGGATGCTGACAGAATAAATTTAAAAAACTGATCACAGTGTTTACTAAGGTATTCTCCTAAGGCTCTTTTCAGGATACCTTTGGCTGCAGTGTGGTATGTGTGAATGAATCCTTGGAGCCAGCACAACATCCTAGTGTTTTTGAACATAATGATTTACAGCAACTGCTTTGAATGCAGTGGTAGGTCCTAAATCCATTCATTGTTTACTAAAAGAAGTGGACTTCGGTAAAGAGAAGGCAGAAGCCTGAAAGAAGCCATAGCTTCCATAGGACCTGTTAAAAGTAACATTTCCAAAACAGGGAATGGATTATTTTCGGCTATATTTCTCAGCTCTTAACATCTCTTTTTCTTTTCCCCCTATCAGTCACAGCTGTTATCTGAAACACAGCCCAGCAGGTGATCAATTCAGGCAATGTAATATTTCTGTGCACACGTACATTGGATAGTATAATGGTTCCTTGAAGTCAGTGAAATGTTTGCTACAGACTTGAGTGAAAAGAGAATGTCACTGTTCATTTCTTCAAAATCAAAATTAAAACTGAACTTATTTTAAAAAGCTACTTCACACTTTTACAGTTATTACTAATTAAAGAAAGAAATCTGACCATCTTAAATCATATTATGCAAAGGGCTAACATGATGTAATTGTCTTCAATAGCAAAATAGTCAGAGGACACTGTGTAGATGATATTAAAACTAAGATTACAATGGGAACTGCTATAGCTCTCATTCTACAGTACAGCAAAGTAAAGTATAGGAGTTACACAAGAACAAAAAAATAAACAAACTGACATCTGGACACTAAACTCACGGTGCCGATGACAGATTGCTGCCATAACAACTTTATTAAAAAAATAAAATAAAAAAAATACTACAACAACAACAAAAAGCTACTGTTTGGTCCTTTCTCACAATTTTCTTAGTGATAAAGGATGCAAATATGGATACTCTTGGATGTTCGGGTTATTTGGGGATAAACTTGGATATTTCCTGGGTGAATACTCTTCCAATGTGGCCTGGTATGTTTTAACATTCTTTTCACTCATGCAGTCTGAATGGCAGCTCTATGCAACCAAAAAGAAGTCCAGAAGTAGTGAAGGGCTTTACTGTTCCAAAACCATGTGAAGTAGCACAGAAAAAGACAACTCAAATTTCTCCCGTTGTGCTGAATTCCTCTTCTAATTTACTACCAGCACTGGCTGGGCACCCAGAGGGATTTTTTTGATGAGCAATTCACATGTTACTCTATGGACTGCCAATATAACTCCAGCTCGTGGTAGTGATCCAGGATGTGATCCAGGAAACAATCATCTTCAGCTTCATATTAGTTCAAGAGGTCCTGACAAACCTGTATATAGTGTTTTTTCTTCCTATTTGAGCACTCATGGGACTCACCTGACACAAACTTTGAGATAGTCCAATGTTGCCATCATTGTTTCCAATGCACTGAAGATAATATTCAGCTATGTACATGGTTCCCTAGTTGTAATCTGCTGATTTGCACAGATGAGTTAATCGGGAAACTCTTCATTCCATGGTGTGACTGTTGTTCATAGCCATCCAAAACGTAACTTGTCATTGACATTGCTGTCACCACTGCTGAAACCCACCACCCATTGCCTCACTATGCTTATATCCACTGTTTGGTCTCCATAAAAGCTTAGCAAGTATCAGTGAATGTCAGTGGTTGCCATTTTTTCCGCACAAAGAAATTAAATGATACACCACACTTCCATGTCAGATTCCTTTGTGTCAGAATGTTCCCCTGTTGCCATTGGTCTGACAGCAACAAAATGCAATGCAATACTGTCAGGAAGGTTCAGCCTCTACTACCATAATACCAACATCTGCCTCTGATGTCATGAGACAACATAGTGAAATAACAGGCGCTACTTTCCAAGTAGCCTTCATATTTTCAAATGCATACAATAAAACTATAATAAGCAATTCAGATTTTTTTTCAGTGTGTATTTTCCTAAGAAGACAGGCAAAAATACTATTTATGAGTGGAAAATGAAGCTTTTCCTTAGTTAAAAGTGATGGAAATGTATTTCACTTCATGTGATGCACAGCACCTTTCCTCCATAAAAAAATAAAATAATAAAGTCTTTTCATTATGGTGATTTCTATTTTCAGATTTATTTTCTTATTTTTAATGTAAAAAAAAAACCCTGAATATTGCTAATTCAGCATTTAAATCAAATTGTAACTGCTAGAATGTCAATGACAAGGTAAATGATTGCTGTATTTGTTTCAGGGATAGAGAAAGGCGTGAAGTTTAATTTTCAATTTATGTAGCAGATTACCATAATGATTGGAAATGCATTCCTTCTGTCACAAGGCTGTCTGAGGACAAGCCAATCCTCACCTAATTTAGAGGACTAAGTTTAGTTTCAGCTAGTTTAGAGCAGTATAACATTTAAAGCCTCGCATGGAAATAGATTTACATAACATAAATCCTTTGTGTTAATGGTGCAGCCAATTCTCAGGTTTTTACTGTCCTTTTTTTTTTTTACAAATCAGAAGTTGGTTTTCTCTTACCTGGTACACAATTTACATGCTTTCACATTATTTTGCTTCCAAGTTATAGTTTCTCAAAACTACTGAGATCTGCAAGACTATCCACTCCCAAAATATTCCTACATATAGTAAGATCAAACTGGACTTTCTGATTACAAAGGATCATCCTTGTCCAACATCTTTTTTCTTGAGGATAAAAAAAAATAGAAAAGAAATAAAAGAAGTCATGCCTTTTCCCTAGTAAAGTTTCTAATTAAAAAGAGACATTCACAGGGATTAAAGCTTTTGCTTTTCTACTACATGCACACAGTGGCTATGACATGAAACTAGCATAGGTTCATTTGAATCACTTTATACCAGCTATGAGCTTGTCACTTAGCATTTTCAAAGCATAATTATCACTGCTGAAAATCCTATTGTACTGGAAATAAGATGGAGTGATTCAGAGATGGAATGCCCACAGAGCAGTTAGTTCTGGGAAACAAGACTATGGCTGCAGGGAATTACAGAAAAGGTGCTGTAGCCTCTGTTTCCTGCTCGATTAGGGAGTGTGAATGGGAAACATGCTTCATTAACAAACATAATATCCCATTTGGCAATATTCAGTTTGATTGATAGAATTTATAATGTGCTTAATGCCATTTTGTAAATACATAAATGTACTGCTACATTTTCCCTGAGACATTTGAAGAAACTAAAGAACCTCCTGCTTTACTTCACAGGCAACAAGATCTAAAAGCAGAAAGGAAGCATGAAAGAGTAAAACAATGTAGTTTTACTCTCTTTTTTTTTTCTGCTATAAAACATAGATAAACCTTTTGCAAACTCATGCACTTTTCATTGCTCTCACAAAAATACGTAATATTTGCTATACTATAACAGTCAAGGCATGGAGCAGGCTGCTTTCTATCCCTTTAGTAGTGCTTGGTCACCTAAGTCACCTAAGGAGTCCCAGCTCAGGAAGAAAACGGTCTCAAGCCATTTTACACAGTGTTGACTGAGAGAAAGGCCTTTGCTTGGCTCATCACAAATTGCATAAGCCCTAGAATCATCTGGGTTGGAAAAGAACTTCAAGAACATTGAGCCCAACCATCATTCTTACCCATGTGAGAGAGCTTGGTTCTATCCAGCATTTATGCATAAAAGCCTAGTTATTCTCTTTGGCTCTTTGGATTTCACTGGTGGTCATATGCTTCTTTTTTTCCTCAGCAATTCCTGGAGCTCAGTTGAACTTTGGCGTGTCCCAGTCTCATGCTTGAATGGTTGTAGGACAGTTGAGAAGAGGTCTCCACAGATGGCCTCCCTGGAGTGGAGGAAGACTACGAGATCTGGGTTGTAGGGGACCAAGGCAACAAGGGTTGATCTGCACATCCCACGTGTCACACAGAGCAACAAACAGTACCTAAAAATGCATATGTTTTAAAAGTTGTCCTCTGCTGTCAACTCTTCATCTAACTTACTAACGCTCTGAGGTCATCCTGTCTGCATAGCATTTGGGTGCTTTATCATTTGCTGATGCAATATGGAAAATGAGACTCACTTTTTTCAGAACTCACAAATGCACTGGCAGTCAGATAAGCACTGCAATGCATGCTCAGCTAAATCAGAAGAGAGCTTGCTTACCTGGATGAGAAACAAGGCAAACCCTTGCTTCTTTGATTTCTCTGTCTGTTGACAAACTACATCTTGGAGAAACACTTTGAAGAGGATCAGCGGAGGTCAAGAAGCAGAGAGCTACAACAGCTCTCAAAGAGATCTGAGGGGAGAGCAGAAGACCTATACGAGCTCCTCACCTGCTGAAGGAAATGATCATGGGGGGCAGGAAAACAGCTTCCTGAAGAGAGAATAGAAAATTCGGATGGGACAGGTATAAATTAATCCAAGCATGACCATTGAAAAGACAGGCGATCTCCAGTGCAGCTTCACCTCTGAACCCACATATTTCTTGCTATCAAGCTCATCCAAGCTGAAAACACAGCTTTGCATCTAACTCAGGTACAGCAAATAGGCCACCCCTGCCATTGGGTCTTTCCTCTCCTGGCATGAGATCTGATGTGGTGTTAATAAGAAAGAAAAAAAAAATCCCCCAAACTGCTACTTAAATAAAAAGCAGCTATGAATCCACCACATTTAATTAAAAAAAAAAAAAAAAAAAAAAGAAAAAAGTGTGAGGGATAAAGATGGAAGCACTGATCACGTACATAGGCTCCTTGGAGGAAATATGCAGTGTCTAGAACAAACAGATGAGGGGGGTTGGTCTAGTACTAAACTTAGATCAGACAACATAACTAAGAGCTGCTAACTCTCACCACATACCTGTAATATCTGATGGAGACCAGCCTCCACCTCTGCAAAGCCAGCCTTAGGCACACATCATGTAGGCACATGGGGCTGAGCTCTGTTTCTTATGTGTTTTCTTACCTTGTGTTTGGGGTCCCAAAGCAGGCAGAAATACTCTACCAGTGTCCCCATGGGTATTTGATGTTATTACCTCTGTTTTTCCTTTCACCTTGGTATGCATAAACTACCTTATTGCTTGATTTTATGAACTGTAAGCTTAAAGCAAGTAAGATACTCTAAACTCCAACACTCAGTTATTTCCCTTTAAGGGAATACAATTTCTATTTGAGTACTCAGCTATGTCACAATTACAGCTGAAGAACAGTACTTCAGTAAGAGTTTCCTAAATATTTAATAAGACTCATGGCATTACCAGTAAGCAGCCACAAGCTGAAACAGCACAACTATGTTTCTGAGCAGCTTTTGCAGGTGAATGGTTCACAGCCAATAAAACAATATATTACATGAAATTTGGATGTAAAGTTCAAACTCATTTGTCACAGATATTCCTAATTTCAAATCAGGACAGCCTGGTTACATTCACATCAATTAAGTATGCTTTGTAGAAAGATCTGAGCAATAACTTTTGGTAAATCAATGTTCATGAAAAATCATTTAAAAGTCAAATGTATGAATATAGTTTCAAAACAAGGGAAAATGCATCAATGCAAATATTTGAACAAAGATTTCATCTGTTTTTCTCCAATCAAGAAGTAAGAATTGCATACAATTTATCTGGCCAAATGTATTCAAATAATAGGGTAAATTTTGAATATTCATGGACAATCAGAGACTGAATAATGCTCTGTTTCAGAGAAGTTCTGCAAATTAGAGGAGTAAGAAAACTCACCCGGGAGAAACTGTCTGCTCTGCTCTAAGTATCACACTGTCAGCACTTCCACAATTGCAGTTTCCTATAACATAAAGTGATTTTGATTTAGCATTTTCCAAATAATTTAACAACTGACTGCCATTGTCCTTATTTCAGATGCCCAATTAAGTAAAATCTCCCTCTTTTCCTTTCCCCTCCCCTAATAATCCCTATCTTAATTACATTCAAATTACATTGTATTTACAGTATAATGTACTTATAAGTAGGTACCAAAGTATACATTCATAATAGAAGTATCCTCTATATGCAGTATCCTTTTAACAGCTCTCCACTCTTTGAACTTTACAACAAATTGCCCAAAACTGAATGCACATTAGGGATTCAGTTTTCCATTACAAAACTAAAAAGAAGAATTTAAAAACACTGACTTTGGTATTTTCTTGGCTTTCCTTTATGGCAGTCTTTCTGGTAAGCATCAGTTCTTGTTTCTCTGTGGTTGACTGTGGAAGACAAAATTGTCTGTAGTTCATTCATGACTGGAGAAAATTAGGATGGAAGTATGAGAAAAACTTGTCTTCCTATTTAAAGGTAAAACTGAGCAGTATCTGAGTTACCTTCTCCAGAGAATTATACAAACAATACACAGTCTTGAACTAGAAATTCAGAGAAGGAAGCGTATACTGAAAATGAAGACTGAGAAGTCGGAGACTGAAGGGCATTTAAAAAGCAACATCCTCTTTTAGCAGAAACAGCACAGAAGAACCTGAAAGGATCAGGGAGTGATAAAAAGTATATATTTATAAGATGGCTTCCTTGGGGAGTGCATCCGTCTCAACATGAGTAGGTCACAGGGGATAGAATGAGATCTCTTGAGAAGCATCATTTACAGAGTCAAATACAAACATCAGGTCTCTCTAGAGTCTGTTTCTTCAGACTGGCTCGCAAAAAAGCATTCTCTGAAAGTATGTGACTTTGCTTGATCACTTAGCCAACCTGGACAATATGTATATTCTTTTATTTTTAGACTTTGAATATTTTCTTCATTTCTTATGCTTTTTCACTCATCTTTGCATTGTTACCTATTGCAGGTATTTGGGAATTGCTTAAAAATGTGCTTTAATCTACTCCAAGGAGATAGAAAACTAAGTTGATTTAGAAATTGAAGAAAAAAAGAAGTCCCATCATTACTCTCCAGACTGATCCTAAGGAGTTTAACTGACTTGCATATCCTTATATTCCTCAGCTGAAATCTGTAAGGAGGTAATGAAGAAAGGATATCTGAAGTCAACTTGGCTCACGCATCTTAGTCCAGGAGAGGCACATATTCAGCTGGATGGCACCATAGATTTCATTGCTGGAGGCCCTGGAGTTTCCAAAGAGATAAAGGTTGAGAAAGCATATAATTGGTGTGAAATCCACTAAAAAATACTCTCCTATCTCTTCTGCTGCTCGCGCTTTCAGAGCTCCACAAGGCAACTGGGAGTACAGACTCCCTGTAGCAGTACACTTCTGCCCTGCTTTCTACAAAATGCCTCATTTATTTCTGCTAATCTGCTGCTCCAGTTTCTAGTCTCTTGAACAAAGGTATATTCTCCGCATGTGTGTGCATACACATGTGGAAACTAAAAAGTAAATGTAAGTGAATTCGCTAGAAGGAAAAAAGACTTCTAGCTTTGTCCATCAAATATTCAGATGACTTAACTGTAGACAGTGAAAAGAGGTTCTGATGCAGCGTGTGACAGATTTTTCCATCCCTAGAGATTGCCACAATAGATGATAAAATAGAAGAGACCTGACAAGAGAAAGCAGAAGTAAAAATTCTTTTCCAGGTCCTTTTCTAACATTTCCCATCTCACCACTTGCATCTTTGCTTTCCTGTGTTATTTTAAGATTCATGTCTTTTCAAATTTTCTGCCAAGTATGATGCACACCTGTGGAGCAGGAGAACAAGATAATGACAGGAATGCACTTACTGATAGAGGGTCTGCCTCAGCTTGCAAACTCCAAGTCTATAAAGACATTACGTTGAGCCCACTGTGACAAACTCAGAGCAATTAATGTCATGCTGCCCTCATTGTCTTTTACCTATTCAACTTCTGTACCATTTCTCTGCTATAACTTGTGTCCAAGAAAATCTTTCTAAATCAACCATGAAATGTTCTATGAAAGCCACTGAATTTTCTCATTTGCACTCTTCCCAAGGCCTCTCTAAAATCAGAAAATTCGCAATTACCATTAAAAAACATGCTATAATGTTATAAGCATCTGATGAGAGAGATGATTGGATTTCCAGGTGGATTTTTCTTTTGTTACATACTGTACTCATCCAAGTCAAGTACAATGTTCTGGTAAGTAAAGTTTTCCACAATTTATCTTATCCAATTTAACGGACAACACAAAAAGATTGTCAAGAACTTTTACCCCATTTGTAACCCTGATTTTTTTCACAATCTTTCCTGAGCCAAGAGACAGCTTTTCACTCCATTTGTCTAAAGCAAAGCAGAATTGTTTTTATTGAATCTAATATTCCATATATTTTTAAATGATGGATGTGACGCTTTACAGCCAACTAAGGTCAGTATGGAATGTTTTGTTTATACATTGCTTATCAGGTTTTACATTTGATAAAAATTAGTAACCAAGAAGTATCCTAAATCAAAAAACTGTAGAATCAAAATACATCCCATAGAATATTCCTTGTTCATATGGTACAAAATCTGAAACATATAACATCAAATCATTTATTAAATCACATAATTGTATTTATGTATATAGTTCTACAAATTTGACAAGGTGCACAAAACTATTCAAATTCTACAATTAAACTTGTGTTAGAAAGATGCAGTATCTGTTATCTTTAAAATAGACATTACATTCCTGTTATCATTCCATATAATTTCAGATCTTATCTAAGCTTCATCAACACTGACTATGCAGTAAACCACACTGAAAAGGGAAACATTATCAGATGGTTTTATTGTTAGAAGGCTCAGAATATCATTTTGCCAATTTCTTTTTAGGAATAGCTGCATTTCTGTTAAATATTCAGTAAATCTCCTTTTCTTTTTCTTTGACAAAATCATAGTTGAAAAGGTTAGGATTTTTTCCCTACTGACAGCAAAATTATTACTTTCTGTCATGAAGAAAGCATTGAAGCAGCCAACAAGAACGTTCTAATTCTTACGTCCCCATTTCTCAAAATATCAAGATGATGTTATGTGCCTTGTTGTCCCAGATTGCTTGTCAGTAGATTGCAGGACACAGTGGATCATTTATGGTAACCCAGAAATACAGAGCTCTGCTCTACCCTTGGTCATATACCCATTGCTGATAGCAGGGCCGTACTGTGGCAGAAAGCAGTCAAGGCCGGGTGCTTGAGGTTCCCCTTAGGATGGCTTTTGTATGTCACCCTGAAATGTAGGATGTCACATCAGATGTACAGGATGATTAAGAAATCTCATACCATTCTCAGATAATAATAAAACCTTTGTGTTTTGGATTTGCTGTCTGACAGGTGATAGCCAGCAGAGATGACTGAGTACACATGTGACAGCTGGGAAATAGATACAGGCAGTCACTGGGCTGCTCCTCATGGCCCATGCCAGCAGATAAGCACCAAAGATGTTGATAATTACAAACAACCTAACACTTGTCTGTACATGCCATCCGCTCTGAAACAAACCAGAATAGGCTTTACATGCTTGTGTGGATTCTTGAAATGCCTCACCATGTTCACTAATTAAGGTTCTCCTCTTTCATATCCTCTAGGTGTGGGGCAGTTGTGGGATGCCAGCCACCTCCAGGCAGGAGTTGGAGGGAAGGTCAGAGGGAGCCCTGCTCAGCTAGGTACTGCTTCCCCACATAGCATCCTTGGAAGGAAGTGAGGCCTTGTGACCAAGCACCAGGTTTTTGATAGCCATATAGAAATAAGACTCTAGCTGGATGTTTTCCCCAGGCTCAAGATCAGGATAAAGTCATAGGCTCTGAGAGAAAGCATAGTTCACTTATTAGATATAACACCTTGAAAAAATCTGCTACAGATACCCAACTCTGCTGAGTTTGTGACACCAGTAAAGCTTGACAAGTTGCACACTTTCAGGATTTTAAAGGGAATAAGAATCAAAGCAAAAAGAAAAATTCCTTGTGCAACTTAGAAATCTTTATTGTCTTGGGCTATGTCTGCCAGCACCAGCAGGATCCCTGCATTAACAGCGCTCCCCAGAAAACAAACACATAAACAGTCACTTTTTAGACTAGACAAAATCACTCCACAGGACTTTCCAGCCCAACCACTAAACGTGTTTTTAATGGTTTTGGAGGGTCCAGCTGATTATCCCTAGCTGCGGCTGTCCCTCCTGCTGCCACTTCTTCTCAGCACTGTCTCAAGTGAGATGTTTCTCCACCCGGCCGCAGAGCCTAATTGCTGGCATGTGGCTCTGGAAACCCCTTTTCCATCTGCACAAAGTATTTTTACACTCCTGGGCTGGAGCATAGTCATTCTACTCTGATTTCCTCAAATGCTTTTTTGAATGCTTAACTTCACTCCTGCAAGGACGCTTGCTGATTTTGATGTTCCTTCTTATGCAAACAGATAAACATTTGCTTGCCTGTTTGTTTCTATTTCCTATTTATGTAATGGGAACTCTACTTCTCTCACTCAATAAGTATTCAAAAAACAAATTCACACATAAAGGCGAGTTGCTCAAGCACCACACTGATGGTATAAGTACCGTAGCCAGCCCGATTCTCCATTGTTATTAATGTGCCAAATGAACAGTTTATCAGAGATGATTTCATACTTCTAAAGAATGGAAATGAGCAACCACTAGTGGCTTTAAATGAAAACATGAACATAATGCACAGGAACACACACTTTTTAAAAGTGCTTCTTGGTGTCTGTGATAGACAACGGGAAGAGGCTGCAAATGGGTTTAAATGACTGAAGCTGTTGTCACTCAGATCTGATTGAAACAACCCAATATTTTAAATACCATTCACATATTAAGTAGCAGGTGTGAGTTTCTGCTTCTTATTAGAAAAAAAAAAAAAAAAAAAAAAAAAAAAAACAAACCACTGGAAAAACAGCTGCTTTCTGTGAATTTAGCTCTGGGAGCCAGAGCGCTCCAATTTCAATCTGCATTCTGGGACAGGTAGCACAGAGCAATTAATCACTAAGACTCTCTCAGATGGTCTCACCTTCTTTTGTCTTTGAACAGCATGATACAAAATAAAAATGGGTCATCAATGCATTAGCAAGAGGCTATGAGATCATATCCTTGAAGAGATATTATATGTGCAACACTCACACAAGAAAAGCAATCTTTTTTGTCATGGCAAGAGCACATAATCTGAGGCAGGGAAGGTGTTTATTTGTTTTTACGAGTAGCACTAAAATGCTTTTTATAGCAAAGATATTGGTAGCTTTCTGTTCTGTAGCTCCCAGTTGAAATGAGAAGGGTGTAGCACAGAGCACAGGAACAGGTGAGCTCAGTGTTTACCCAAGATGCCTATTGGCACTCAAAACCATGAGAAATGAGGTGGTGCTGGCAATAAAGGTTTGGGCCAAATACCTGGGACATGGAACGTGTTACTGGCTAGGAGCAAGAAGCAGATAAAGAGAAGCATGTTTATATATAAATAATAACCTGGAGAAACAGGTAATATAGGTGAAAATTGAATCAAATTGTCACAGCATGTATAAAGCATCCTATCAGATGTATCCTTCACTGTGTTGTTCATAAAGATAGCAAAGAGGGACTGCACAAAAATCAAGGCAGGAAGAGAGGAAAATATCTGATAATTGAAGTCTCTGATCAGTCAGAAATCAGTCAAGTGCTACTGTTGAGCTTTAATAGCAACAATAGATTCTTTGGGACTGAGAAAATAGCGATGCACAAAGTGGGAGGAATCCTGTATTATTTTGTCATGAATATCCAGGAAAAGAAAAAATACAACAAGGTTCTACAAGCATGATTTGAATAATGAGAACAGCAGAAAATAGTAGGCATGGAACATTTAGCAAAGTATATCTAAATTGTGAGCAGCCAGCATGCATTTAACAGCAAAGAGCTTGCCTAACTCATCTCGTGCTGCCTCACTGAAGAAGCAGCAGTAACCAAAAGGATTTTACAGGGAAAGAATCTGTGCATATAGTTACAGACCTGCAGGAAACAGTTCTGACAGAGTAGCCAGCAGTAAGTTAAACACGAATAAGGGATCCACCACAATGATCAACATTCAGCCAACGCAGTGCTACGGTGGAAGAGAAAGAGTAAAGAACAGCAAATTAAGAGAGATCTTACATTACAGGCTGACAAAGGAGTAAAGACAAGGTGCTTTTGTAGTGTTCCCAGGAAAACACTTGGGAGTGTGTGGGAGCAAGAATTCTGAGAAAGGTGATGCTTTGTGTTTAATCAAGAACGCGTCAGTGCAAAATACATCCATACTGCCACAAAACCCATTATGGAACTCCCCTTCCCCACATTAAAAAAAGGGAATAGGAAAGCTGTGAGCATATGGCATTTAAGGTCTTAAATTGCAAGGCTGAAAGAGGCTGTGATGAATTATTGAGAATTTACACATACCAAAGAATCTTACCTAGTAATTTCTGGCTGGACAAGCCTATATATCTAGGAAAAATATGTGGTCTCAATTTAAATACTTCAACAAATTCATTATATTCATAGGTTAATTGTTCCAATAGTTAATTACGTTCAGTGAATCTTATGTATATTCCTACTTGGTCTGCCTTTAGTTTACAAACTAAGTTTTTTGTTGCCCATTCATTAGATTTCATAGCACTTCTTAATAAACCATTTACAGTCCCTCCCTTAGAGTTTAGCCTAAGCTACGTTCTATTGAAATAGGTTGAACTTCTTATTTACTCATTATTACAATGTTTTTGAGACTCCAGACTATTTTTTTAATCTTTTTTTCTATTCTTTCTGAATTTCTAAGAAACACAGACACACTTTGTCCACTGGGAACTGTTTTCTGGTTAATGCCTAAGCAGCACACTGTGACAAACCTTAAAAAAAAAAAAAAAAAAAAAAAAAAAAGTGTATAAAAAGCAACATAACAGTTGCTGCTTGCTGTATCTTAACAGGGATAGGAAAGTCACATGTGAATTTCTGAGAATGACTGCATTCTGGCTTCTGGTGGAATTAACTCTTATTCAGTTACTCCTAATTTTTAGTTTTAGTTAGCTGAGAACCTGGGCCAACTACACGATTCCAGTTAGAGAAGAAAAAAAAGAGGTGGACACCACAAGGTTCAAAAGAGGACAGCTGAGATTAGCCTCAATGACCCTAAATGATAAGTGAAAGAAGGTTAAACACACTATGGAAAGGAGATTAACAAAAGACCTCACCGGTACATAAAATACCTTAAGGGAGTTGTAAGAATACATTTTAGTAGTCTGGCAATTTAACAGAGGAATACGCCAGCTCAACTAATTAATTAATGACTGTGTTAACAAAGATGAAACGCTCTACAGAAAGGTGCTGTTTTGTATTACAAGAAGGTGAAAAGCAGCAGATAAATTTATAGATTTGTTAACATGGAAATTTAACAAAATGACCAGGAGGATTATGAGGTTGCCATAACACAGACATGGTGGAGAAGAGAAAAGGGACACCAGGCACCTTGCACCAGGCAAGTCCTCTGCACACAGGCAGGTGAGACCACGGATGTTCAAAAGAATGGGCTGGAGTTCTCCTATGGTCCCATCTAATATGAACAAATCTGTAATACACTGATGTAAAAGAAGGTTTTTCAGCATAAGTAATAGAGAAATAAATACAAATAATGGAGAAGCTGTGCTTCCTGATATATTACCTAGGAAAATATTAATATAATTTACCAAATTATAATATATATATCAAAACATGTGCCACAAAACATGAGCTACTTTTGCCTAAAGAAATTCAACCATTATAGTCTCTGAGATGTACTGGACTTTACTAACTCTTATGAAGCCTGTTAAGAAAGATGTATTTTTCAAACAATCCTGAAAAAGCCTTTTTCTTTGATTTGAAAAGGTGAACAGTATTTGTGAATGAAACTCAGCTTTTAAGAAATATTTACAACCATCTCTCTTCTCTTCCTCCTTTGCAAAATAAACAACTTTTATGATTTTACAAGCATATTGCTCTTAAAAAAGCTATTTTACTAAACAACTTTCCTGGTTATTAGTTAGAACTCATTAGATGTTCTATTAATTATAATGCGTAACAATGTCTGCAGCTTGCTGCATTTATTCCCTTTTAAAACAAATCCAAAATGCTAGCTACTTACATTTAGACTAGAATTGTTTGTTTCTGAATTATTTGTTATGTGTTTATTGATTCCACAGGCACACAGGAAAGTAAAGAATATTAGATACTGTATTTCATGTGAGCTTTTTATTATCTTTTCTAAAAATTTGAGTTTGTGGAGCTTAGTACCCCCCAGATAGCAGCTGTCTGAAAACAAAGCTTGGGAAGTTTTGCTTTGGTTTGCACAGAGAACTTTGAAGACATTTCTGGAGGATGACGAGCAGCAATGATAACTGAGAGTATACATGTAAGTGCCATTCAAAGGGATTTAGGAAATATCATTCACACCCTAAGGGTACATCTAATCTGCACTGCACTCCCTGCTCCTAGTCAATACACATTTCATCACATCATCTAAGCTGATTTCCAAGAATCCTTCCTACTGAATCACATATTTCTGAGCTGCCATCACTCCAACCTGCATGGCTGCCATCTTCACATCTACTGGGGTCAGCACTACAAAAGGAGACGAAAGATCCTTATCCCCATTCGATAAGCCCCCCTGGACCAGAACAGAAGCACATGGATGCTATCCATGCTTCTTTCCTCCTTTAGCAAAGTCGGAACAGAAACTTCAACAGACATAGCTGCAGACTCCTGTCCAAGTGCTCTGAAGGAAGGGCAAGGAAAGTGAGAGTTCATGTGGTAAAATAACAAAACAAATGTCTGAGTGGCCACAGAGTGCATGGTAAAAATTGAGAGATTTGTGGTTTTCAACAAAGTACAAATGAGCAGTAAGACTAGAAGCTTCATTTGTTAAAGCCTGCATTTCCCTCTTTAACTGAATTCCTTTCCAGCACTGCAGATTTGCAGCCAATGCGCAGGAAGGTCGTTTCTCATCGACAGAACGATAAAGCTGATTGAAGTATTTTGTCAGCTGCTGAAAGAACATAACTTCTTGAGCTCAAATTTTTTTCTGAGGTTTTATTTGCTATTTTCAAGTGTGTCTATTAAGCACTTGAGGGACAGTTATCCTTAGCATAAGGTATCCTGGTCTTCACTTAAGCATCCCATTGCTTTTTCCTCCATGTTTCTTCCTGAAAGATGGTAAATAACCTTGACTCCAAACAGTCCTCTCTTAGGGCAGCAATAATTAGTCACAACCCCACTCAGAAGAAGTAGCAGCAGTAGCAAAAGGCAGCATTGCCAGGGGACAGAAGCTATGAGCGCTGAAGCAGATTCACACCATTTGCACAAAATCTCCTGTCCAGTCAAGGTAAGCAAGTATGAGGATCAGTGAGAACAAGAGAGATCCAGAGAAACAGGATGAGTCCCTTATAATTTACCTCAGTTATTTCATTGCACTTTTGAGCACATAACACAGGAAGATACTTTCAGAAATGTGAAGCACTGAGTGTTGAATAAATAATCACTGCTATTTAGTGACATTACTGATGGAGTAACACAAGAGTACCAAATTGTTCATCACTAGTAAATTAAATTTGGTAACAATACTCCCCAAGATGCTCCAGGGTTTTTCTCAGGGAAAAATGTTCTTTATCCTTGTAGGGTTCTAAATTTTCAATAAAAGCAGACAAATATTGAGGAATAATATGGAATGCAAAAAGCAAACTGTTTGGCCCAGGCTACAAGCTGTTTCTTTTTTCACGCAAACTGAGCATGTAGCTAAAATGTAACTTAACCTTTTACACAGCACTTCACAACAAAATAACCTAGGATAATCATCTCATTCCTGTTTCCTTTATCTACTTTTTGATTTTTTCCCCCTCGTGCCAACGTGCCTTTCCTTATTAACACAAGTTGTCCCCTGTGCAAAACTTTTCCTTCCAAAATGTTCTATATCAAGTTGCAGTATACAGAGATAGTATGTTTCCTGTGAGTGAAACTCCTCCGTGCCTTCAGAGGCAAAAAGGGGGTGTGTTTCTTCCACAAAAATCACTGTGAAGAACAAATACGAAGATGCTACAGCAAGAATGGTGTTCTGTTCTTCCATCATGAGTGAACACAATGTAGAAACTGGCCTAGGAAGAGACCAGTGTGAGATTTACACCACTAATGCTAGCCACAGCCTAAGAGGAAGAACTACAGTGGTAGCGTCTTAGCAGCGGCTTATCTTGGCCACAAAATAAAACTCAGCTTCCCAAGCTCCACATCTCAGAATGCCACTATCACACACGACATGCACACAACAAATGAAAGTATGGACCCCCAATAGCTAGGTCCATCCTTTCCTCCCCAGCCAGTAGGAGGGTGTTTAAGCATCTAAACCTTGTTTGAATAGATTTTGATCTAAATACAAAACTTCTGCTGTAGGATCGCCAATGCAGGATATTCAATTCTCTTAAAAGTCCTGTCAAGGAAACAAATAGAAAAGTAATTTATATTACAATGCAGTTTCCAGCAGCAGGAAATGTCACTTTGATAGTCACCACCAGCGTGGTTTGAAATGTTTCATTTAAGCTCATATTGATCTCAGATTTCTGACGGCCCCCTCCCTCCTTCCTGCAGGCAAACTCAGCTTCCTGAATTCACTTCTTCATGGGTCTGTGCAGGTAGACAAGTTCCCACCTAATTGCCTACATAGAAAAGGCTTTTTCACCCCAGCTACCACTGTTGTAACAGCTGATAATAAAATCTTACTATCATCTTCCTAGGAAAGGTTATGTCAGAAGCTATTCTCAAAAAGGAGCATAGTTCAGCCATGCACTGCTGTTCAACACCCTTTCTTTTGCTAAACACCAGAAATCTCAGCATTATATCACTTCCTATTTTGAAGGCATGCACATATGGCCAAAATAGGAGGGTCTGGGAATGAATTTCATATTTGCATTTCTTTGTAGTAGTTTTTTAATTTCTGAGACCACCAAAGCTGTTTCTCAGACCCTATAGCAGGTCTCCATGAAGAGTTTTAGAAAGTGTAATGTTTTACATTTTGAAAAAGAGCTTAAATGGTGCTATTCAGACCTTTTCCTAAATTGATCACTAGTCATCACAAACTCCCTTTCCAGCCCTCCTGCTTTCTTTCACTTACAGAATGATGGTGGTTGTCTAGGAAACACATCTTCTGTTCTCACTAGCATCACAACACTGTTAATGAAAGAAATCCCTTTGCATCTCTGGGTTGCATCATGTTAATTCAGCACCCTGTGTGAGATCAAAGCAACTGATTTAGTGTGCCACTTGCAATGTAAAATGCTCTTTAAGAGGCTGCTAAAGTGAAAGAACTACCAGAAGGTAATGTTCCTCTGAAGTCCTTGCAGTGGTTAGCTATACAGGGAA